CAGCTGTGACATTCAGGATCCGAGTCTTTCCTAGTTAGCAACAATGCAACGTGCCCTGCTAGTGTTGGCTACAGATACTCTGTCTGGAAGTTTGCTTGGCAAATATGGGGAATTTGAAAAAGGGAGCGTGTTGTCCGGGCTGTTTGACGTTATGAGTTCCCTGTGATAGGCCTGTTGGGATTTTATTAGATAAGCAGAGATACGGTGCTGGGCGAATTATCCGGGACTTAGAAATGCTTGCATTCGAATCATAGAATCATAAGGCTGGAAGAGACCTCAGGAGAGAGAGACTGATAAAATCACAGGGCAGAAGGGCAGTGACGGGTTCTGCTGGGCTTTTTCCAAGAAGAGTTAATGGTGATGTTAAACCCAAAGGATCTATTCCCTCATCACAGCACAGGCTTTGCCCTTGTTAACAGGCTCTGGTCTCATCGCTGAGCTGAGCGCCTGCGTATCTTTGGGCACATCACTTCCAAATGCCCCATCTATAAATGCGGAGAGTAGCCACCTGCCTCCCACAAGGGCTGTGGGTAAGGCTGATCAAGCCCTTTCATAGGGTTCCACAGAAGGACGGCGGGTCTCAGATGCTGTTTAAACTCTTGTTTTCCAGAGGAGGGCAAAGGGGAGATGGAGATCCGGAGCCCGTGTGAATGTGAGGCCCTTGTGCAGTTCCAGTCAAATACTGTGGCCATCCTGGAAGACCTGACAGAGAAACATATCCTTTTGGGTCACCAGCTGGACTGAGCAGCAGGGGGTGCAGGACCCAAATAGAGCTGGGTTTGTTCCAGCTGCTGCAAGGAAAGTGTCTGCCTTGATTTGTCCTCTGTGTAGTTCAGCCAGTGGGATTTCCTGGGTTGCACTGTCCACCATGGCAGAGTTTGGCCTGTAGCGTTTATGATATTGACCAGGCAGTGATGGGTACAGGGGGTCTCTGGAACTGTTTGGTCCCAACAGGAAGGGGAAAATGAGTGCACTGGGGGCAGAGGCATGTTTGTGGATGTCCAAAAGTTGTCCTGGGGAAGACTATCTGTGTGTCAGGGTGCAGGCCTCCCAGGAAAGCGGTAGCTCTAGCAGACACAAAGGAGGACTTGCCTCATTTAGCATGGATGAAATACTCACGCCGGTAGTTATTAGCCATATGTTGTTGGGCTGACACTCTCCTGACCTGATGCTAAGCCTCCCAGCCCTCTTCTCACCAGCAGGCCACTCTGGTTCCTTTCTGTGTTAACTTCCTTAACACGACCACTCGCTCAGATGACAGCCAGACTCGAAGCCTTGGAAAACCAGATCGCCAACAAGAAATGATCCCTGCAGAGGGCCCGGCGGCACCTGGACTTGGGGGGGCAGAACCGTTCCATAGCTGCACGTCATTGTTATGACCTAGAGTATTGTAAAGGGTCATTGTTTGTTCTTGTATCGCAAAATTCTGACGGGGACTCAGAGGGTAAAAAACCTCGCTCTGAAAGTGAATGGACAGGGCCTTCCAGGCTGTTCCATTCTGCTGGACTAACAGGGTCAGGCTGAGGTGTGACGAACGGGTCAGTTTGGAGCTTCAGAGAGGAGACCTGAGAGGGACAATCAGCATCTTCCAGCCCACCTGCTGTTAACTGACAGTAGCTGGCCACCGGTTTCTCGAGTGAGGCCTATGCGCACAGCTGAGAGCGTCCATCCGGCCGCAAGATTCTTTGCAAAGCAGGCATTTCCACCCTGAAGGCTTCCAGTAGCTCAGTTCCTGCTTAGCTGTAACTTGACTGTGTGTAAGTGTGGGAAGGAAATACAGCAGCTTCCAATCTACTTTCTGCCCCTCACCCTATGTGGGAAACTCCCTCCACTGCCCTGTGAAATCAGAGCACTTGCAGCCACCTCATTGTCTCTGAAGCTTTTTGCTTTAATTGCACAGGAATTTAATTATATTTGATTTCAGTTAGAGAGGGAAAAGAAAAAAACCCAGAATAAATCGTCAGACAGAAGACCAAATACAACTGGAATATTCCTCATCAACCAGAATAAATCGTCAGACAGAAAAGAAGACCAAATACAACTGGAATATTCCTCATCAAACACTCTTGCACCCTGATATTGGCAGAATTGTTGCAGGATTTGTCATTATCTTTTTTTATCAAATACCAAAAAATCCTATAAATGTGTATGTGAATATAGCTTTACTTCTGAAAGCAGGATAGTGCTATTTTTCAACACTTTATATATATATATAATTTCATGACACTTCTCTCTCCTCTTCACTAGGCACCTCGGAAAATTAGGTCTCTGCATCAAGTCACACTTCATACAACTCCAGCTTTCACAAAGCCAGGCCAATGTGCTCCCAGCCAGACAGTCCTTGGGCCATTAGTACTCCTCTCCCAGGGAGGAAGAACTGACTAGTATAAAATCTCTACTTTATCGGTTACACGTGATATATTGCACAAAGTGCCTTAAGTGATGGCAACTCCTTTTGATGGGAAATCACTGTGACAGTGCTGGTATCCCTGACACTTGCCTTTTTGTTGCCTGTCCCCCTCCTCGAAATGGACTCTACCTTCTGTTAATATTGCATAATGGACCTAGGCCTTCATGGACAGCTCATAACCAGGTTCCCTGTAAGCTGAGCACTTGAGCAGCCATCCAGGAGAGATTCAAATGCTGACCAGCTGATTAGCAGAGCATCCACAGCCAGCAGCATGTGTTTCTACTGTTGGTGCATATTTGCATATGCCTCAGTGCAGATAAAATTTATTCCATACATGGATGGAAAAAATTAGAGGGACCACTGCTCATAATCCCCCTGGTATATGTCACCAGGAGTCAACTGTACAAAGCACCCACATCGGTGGAGCTATGCCAGTTGACTCCCAGCTGAAGACCTGGTCTGTAGGCTCTTAACTTTGGGCCCAATGAATAATAACTGGGGAGCAGCCTTGCAAGCTGACCTTGTGGAAAAGTTCTGCCCCAAAGCGTGTGCAGGATTACACCGGAGACGTAACAGCATTAAAGACTGCCTTCCTTATTAGCTTGTCCTTCTGATGTGATGCATGAGCTACCAGGTCTTCTCCATCTCCAGCTGCTGTGACAGCCAGGGATTGTTGTGCTTGAAGTGTGTTATGATAAAGGCTGTTGATGGCAGTCAACAAGATAGAGGCCTGAGCAAATACCAAATTATATAGAAAGCAGATATCCATGAATTTGCAGGGCTCTAGAGAATGGAACATCTGGCCCTCATTAGTCCCGAGCCATTGTGATGCCATGAAAGCCACATTCACATGAAGGGGACTAGCCTGGGTGTGAGGCTAACACCCAAGCCCTAGCCCCCTCCCACACTGCACTGCGGGGGAGGGGGAGTTTGTCTCCCTATGTCCTGGGGAGTGTGTTCTGCCGGGGGGGGGCTATCTCCCTATGTCCTGGGGAGTGTGTTCTGCCAGTCGAACAGTGGGCTTCTCAGGAGTGCCAGGCCTGGAAACTGAACCCTCCTACTCCTGACTGAGCTTTATTTAAATGGCTGCCACATCCCAAGGTGCTCATGGTCCCACAGCACGTGGCATGTCTGAGTGCAAAGTTGTGCCTCAAAGTCTCCTCTTGCCTGGGGGAGCTGAATCTGCTAGAGGCTAATGTGCCCTGGCTTCGAATCTCATCAATAAAGAGACCTTTTCCAGACAGCGCCTGGCTTTGACTGGTGTCTTAATCTCACGACTGTTTTGTTACAAGCGTCGGCCCTGAGATCGGGCACTAAATGCACAGGTGGAGCAGCGCAGGCTACAAATCCCAGTGCGCAGCATGATGCCAGCCTTCAGCCAGTTTCTCCCCAGATCTCAGACTTTGCCCTGGCGCATACACAGCCCCAGGCGGTGTTAGTGTATGAGCGAGGGTTCTGCGGTGCTCTCAGGAGCCCTCAGCTACTGACTCACCAGGGCTGGGGGAGGAGCTGTTCAAGATAACGCAGTATACGCACTGCCAGGGGAGAAGCTGCACGGGGCTGGCATCCATGTGCCAAGCAGGCAGGGAGTTGCTGGGGTACAGCACTGGCAGTGGTGGGGTGAGCTGCCCACATGCTGTCTTGCAGGGACTCGCAGAGGGAAGAGGGGGGCACAAGAATCAAAGCTGGGTCACAGGTTCAGCTGATTGCCAGTCCTACAAAGGAAGGCTCTAGCTGTGCGAAGTGTCTTGTGTGTTAAAACACTAAGCTGCGCTCTGCACACCTGGGGAGTGGTTCTCCTGTGCTAGTGACTCATGGAACATGCGGATGGACACAGACCCCGCCCTGAAGGTCTTACCCGGGCCTGGAGCAACAACCAGCCGGAAAGGAGGAGGAGGGAGACAGCAATGCCAATGGCTTGGGTTAAGCACATGTGCAGCTTCTCTCCCCCTAGCAATAACACCACTGCAGATTGACTTCCCCTTGTGGGCACTGGGGAAGGGGGAGCTTGCCCTGGTCTGCGTGCCTCAGGAGGCACTAAGGCCTATTGGTGACTGTCACTGCTGGCCTGAGTCGTTCTGCGAGTGGCTCCTGCCTGTGGCGAGAGCAAAGGGACACTTGTGGGGTAAGAGGCTGAGTGAGCAAGACTGGCAGAACCTGGCCCCTTCTCATCAGCAGTGACAGATTTGAACTGGCAAAGGGCCCAGTGCAGATACACTTACACCAAGCAGCACCGCAGGCCAGAAGCAGGGTGGGGGAGACACTGCAATCAAAGGGGTGACTGCAGCATGGACAGGCATGCCCACATAGGCTGTAATCTAGCCGAGTGGTTACAAGAGCCATGAAGACATGGCAATGTGGATTTCAGCACAGACTGCACACACCCGCTTAGGCTCTGAGTGCAGCCACACAGGGCTAGTCTATACTGAAACTTATGCCACTGTATCTACTGCAGATTTAAGCTAAAAATAGCAGGGAAGAGAGAGAGCCTGGAGCATGGATGGTGCAAAGCCCGAAACAAGAGCCATGCTACGAACCAAAGCCAGGCCCTAGAGCAGATGTTTGCTGACAGGGTCACTGACCAGTACAGGAACTTAGCCAAAAGCACAGCCAGCATTGGTAGACCTCAGGCACTCCTAGGTACTGGATAGTCACGTAGACACATTCCTGGGAGGGAGTACAGGCACATGTCAAGGATGAGCCAGGACAAGGATGGAATTTCAGGAACCAGCAAATACAAGAGGGAGGGTCAGTCACGAACCGCAGCAGGAGTGTAATACCTAAATCGTTTGTATCGGTGTATGGAAAGGAAAGTACAGGAGGGCATCTTTGTCCAGTCGAGTATCCCCTTGCTAACTGCGCTGAGTCCATTGTCATGAGCATACATTTGGGAGAGCATTCATACCAGTCGCCATGGATCCAGGCCTCACTGACGGTAAACCTAACCAAGCGTCTTTGTCCCTGAACTGGGTGGCCTGTCTGGGTAGTGCTAGCCTGGTTGCTGGGCCAGCTAGCTGCACTGACCTGGTACAGTGCACAGAGAGCACACACAGACAACACACATGCACCATCAGCTGTCTACCCACGCAGAAATCACCCCTCCAAATGCAGCGCAGTCAACACACCTTTGAGAGAAAGGGGGCTGAGTCTGTCCCAAAACAAAGGGGCAGGGTTGTAACTGTTCCCCCTGCTAAGCTCAGGAGGAGAAAGCAGAGCGCCACGCATCCTTATGGGGCTGCTGTTTAGATTTTTTCCCTGGGGAAGGAAATTGGAGACGGCTCTGATTGGAGATGAATTGAAAAGTTTTCAAATCTTTATTTTGCTGAAGGTTCCGTGTGACATTGGAAGGAGCCTTGCCCTTGATAAATCAGGTGTTTGAAGCAACAGCTTTCAAAGCCAGCCTGATGGCAGAGCAACACATGTGACATTAGAAGGAGCCTTGCCCTTGATAAATCTGGGGGTTTGAAGCAACAGCTTTCAAAGCCAGCCTGATGGCAGAGCAACACATTACAAGCAAACAAGATCCCTGATGCTTCACAGCAAGTAGGACATCAGCACAGAGCATCTGCTGTTGGAACCTTATTCACTGTGAAGTGGGTGCCTGAGCGTGGCCCCAGCATGTTTCTGGGGGAGCCAGATGGAGGAAGGAGAGCAGTATTTTGGGATAGGGCAGGTCTGAGTGTCAGCTGGGGGCCATTAACCTGCACAGAAGCTGCCTGTATTGGTGGGGTTTCTATCATGGGCAAGATTTGGAGAACAGCCCAGCTCTTCTCAAAAATACCCCCTACACCAAAGTCTCCCAGCCTGCAACTAAGGGAAACACATGTAAAAGTCTCAGGGGTCTCTGGTTGTCTCCCACCTGCAGCCCCAGCATCGCACCCCTACAGAGTAGATGCAAAGAGAACAGGCTGGCTCCTGTGTTCATTGGACCTTTCATGGCCACTTGGCCAGCTAATCCCTGATTCTGCTGCAGCTCCCTGAGGGCTTGAATTCTCTGTCCTGGTATGATGGTTGTAGCCACACTAGCAGCAGAGATGTAACTGCTCATCCTCTGCCCTTCTGTCAGGCATGGGAGGCTAACATTACCCCTTGCTTCAGCTCTGGCCATGGCTCTGGCCATGGCTAAGTTCATGTTCCATGGCAAATTCCCCTCAGATCTTCTGCTGCTTTCAAGTTCCTAAAAGGGTGTTACATGGAGTTGGGAGAAAAAATATTCTCCTGGTGCTAGGAGAAGCAGCAAAGGGCTTACATTGTAGCAGGGGAGGTTTAGGTTGGACATTAGGAAACATGTCCTGTCAGGGTGGTTAAGCACTGGAATAAATTACCTTGAATCTGTCTAGATTGCAGCGCTATTTCGGGATACAAGCAACGCTGCGTCTTTAAATGCGCCCGCTATTTCCCGAAATAGCAGGCACGCTATTCTGGCGTCCCTGTAACCCTCGTTCCACAAGGATTAAGGGATTTGTCGGAATATGCCTTATTTTGAAATTTTGGCCAAAGTGCAAATTGCGTAGCTTATTCCGACAGAAGGGTGCTGTCTAGACACACCCCTAGGGAGGC